TATTTTCGTTTGAGAAGCTCGAAGAATGACTGCGTTGCGGCATAACCCGTGTAAGCGTGTGTGTATGTATGTTTGTATAAGAAACATGCATAAGAAGAATGAACCGTAAGCACGTGCGGTGCACGATACGTGCGCGCTCGCTAGACCAAGGTCTCGTGTGCATACGCTCTATGCACCATTCTCTAACCTTCGAACCCATTCGTTCTTTCTAATCTATGCATATAAAGAAAGAGAGAGAGGGAGAAAAAAAGACTTGTCCAACAAATCCGTCGACTCAATTATATGCTCGTTGGAGGAAAAAATAATCGAATGCGTGGCGGATGAAAATTCACCTAAACCTTCAATCGTACTAACTTGCGGCAATGCATAATGCAGCTGCCACCGCCACCACTCGTGCTTAAGAACAATCCAATCGCGCGCAGTTACCGTGCATGCATTTTCTCGCGACACAAATTTTTATGAAATTTTTCCCAGCTTTGCGCACGGATAGGCGCGCTCGGGCTTAGTGCTTACGTACACACTCACACACACACACACACATACAAATATATGCATACCCATGTGTGCAGACCAACCAAGTGCAGCACATTCTTCAAAACATTTATACAAAGACTCGCACTGCACAGGGGCATACACAGAAACTCATGGATCTGTGATTATCTGCGTGGGTATGAGTGAACATGAGAGAGAGAGAGAGAGGCAGAGAGGTAGACAGTCGTGCTTGTGCTCGTAAAGAGGAAAAAAAGGAAGGGGGCTGGAGGTAAGTGAGGGTCCCTGCTTAAGAGTAAGGACCAATCACCTATTCCTAAGCGTGTGGCTATTTTTTTCCGTTTGCAGTCACTAAGCTAGCTTTAGGCTGCAGCGAGCGAGTGAGCGAGAGAATGTGTGTGGTGCGCATGAACGCTATGTGGCACAAGGCCGGCATTAGCATCTCTACCGGTATACCCCCGGTTATTTCTTTCATTCTGTCTTTCTCACTCATTCACTCGCGATCTCTGCTTACATTTATAATACTTGATCCGCGCAGAAAACTCGTATTCCGGTTGTTTCTCTTGCTCTTACTCTCGTTGTTCCTGTATCTCTCTTTCCTTCTAATTTACACTCACTTTTTTTACTAAACTTTTTGAAGGGATTTATAGTTTATTGTGCTTTGCGTGACCAATAAACTCATTCGTACTCGCACACATACGCCTGAATATATCCCTGTCTTTCTCTCTCGAGCTGCTACTGCATACAGACAGAGACCACACTAATATATTTTTCTTTCACTCGCATTCGAGTCACTGTGCAACATACATACCCTGTACTTATACGCACATATAAATATGTGTATGTTATTGCTTTTATTCTGTATCTGCTGCTGATCGACGTCGTGGACTCTGCCCCACACGACAATGCCAGCTCCTTTTCTCTCTCTTTCTCTCGCTCTTTCTCGTTTTTTTTCGTTTTTATTTATTTTTTTCAGACTGTGTTATAAGTATGCATAATAAAGTACCATATCTCTAGTCGATTGAAATCTGATTGTTTTCATGCACTGCAAGCTGGAGCAAAGAATATAATAATAAATATGTATGCCACAACGATATAACACGGAAAAATCCTTATTTACACTTATATATGGCCGATTCTCTGTGAAATCGAATGGCCAAAAAATTTTTTTTTCTGCAAATATGAAAAACTTGCTGTTCCCGATGTCAGAAATGTCCCCAAATTTTATTAGAATTTTTGGGACCATCTATCACTCTTTTTCAGGGGCCCGAAGTTGGCCATTTTAGGGTTTTTTTGAAATTCATGAAAAATCACAAATATT